TAACCGCACTAATCGAGGGATTACTGTATATTATTAACTGCTTATGATTTATGTATCCTAGAAAGTATATATATAAACAGTTCACATTGTCTTCAAATTTAATAAATAGCCTCTTTAACATTGAAATCTTCTCAGTAAACATTTTAAAATCGACATACTTGTAAGGTGGTGAGTTAGCATTTCTTTCTGGAAATAGTCTTGTTTGGTTTTAAAGGAAGACCGCAACGAATCAAACCCTGGATTTTTGGTGTTATTAAGTCCGTAAACTTACCGCTGTCTCACCAGGAGGCATAGATTAGTCATAATAATAATTTTATTTCTCTTTTTTGCTCTACTATAGATGACACACTTTTTCCTCAAAGATTTTAAAATTGTGTTGTTTTTTTCTTGTTTATTTTTAGACTTGGTAATTAAATCTTTAAGTTTTCAGTTTTATCACATAAAATATCTACTTCTCCACAACACTTTTTTTTACTTGGAATAAAATTGGTTTTTGATTTCAGCATTGTATGATCCAATTAATCTGGGGTTCGATACCTACGGTAGACAGAATAAAAATAGCCTATTGTTTAAGTTGGCATATAAAACCAACAATAATTTAATTTGAAGGCACTATGAAATGTTCACATGAACAACCTCTGGGCGTAATTGTTTTTCTATTTACAATATTTAAAATTTCGGCCCGGCATGACCAGGTGGTTAAGGCACTCGACTCGCAATCTGAGGGTCGCGGGTTCGAATCCCCGTCACACCAAACATGCTCGCCCTTTCAGCCGTGGGAGCGTTATAATGTGACGGTCAATCCCACTATTCGTTGGTAAAAGAGTAGCCCAATAGTTGGCGGTGGGTGGTGATGACTAGCTGCCTTCCCTCTAGTCTTACGCTGCTAAATTAGGGACGGCTAGCGCAGATATCCCTCGTGTAGCTTTGCGCGAAATTCAAAAACAAACAATTTAAAATTTCATTTACATTATTTTCAGCCTTCAAATGGCTCCGCGGTAAACCACTGGACTTATGACGCTAAAATTCGAGTTTCGTTGACCACATCACAAATAGTCCATTGTGTTTAACAACAAACAAACATTATTCTAAATGACCAATGAGACTGTTCTTTACTTAATAAGACAATATCTTTATTTTAAGTTAACTGCACTTGAATTTAAAATCTTTAAAAATCTTTGGTCTTTTTTTTTGGTATTTAAATTAAGCTAGTTTTTCCTTTTCATCACATTAATAGTTACCTTCGGTAAAGTTCTATCTCCGTTTTTTTTTTGTGTGTGTGTTATAAGTATTTTTAGATTAGAATGATAATATTTAACTTTTCTAAAACTATTATAATTAACGGAATAACTTGATTTTTCTCCTACTTCATGACTCATAGATTTCTGTCTAAAGCAGTTGTTTTTTTAAAGAGGGTTTTTATGATTTGCATTTCTATGATTATATTCGTGGACTGAATACACTGTTTTAATCAGGGCTACCTTCCTCAGTATGTTTGTTTTTGTCATATTTTATGTGTAAAATACATTTTTCTTTCTCACGTTCTCCCCAGTGGCACAGTGGTATGTCTGCGGAAACCGGGTTTTGATACCCGTGGTGGGCAGAGCACAAATAGCCAATTGTGTAGCTTTATGCTTAACTACAAACAAAACAAAAAAACTTCCCACCTTCTTTCACTATTTTCTTCTTCTGCTACTTTACAAATCCACCTTCCAGTTTTTAATGACTGGTTTGGTGTTTGTTTAACCCAAAGCTACACAATGGGCTATCTTCGCTCTGTCAACCGCTGGGAATCGAACTCTAGATCTTAGTGTTGTAAGACCGCAAACTTACTGCTGTCCCACGGACACAAATTTTGCACAAAGCTACACAAGGGCTAGCTGTCCCTAATTTAGCAGTGACAGACTAGAGGGATGGCAACTAGCAAACAACACCAACCGACAACTCTTATAATATATAATATACAACTTTTTAATTAATTAAAGAACAAACACGGGGACATCTTTTTAATTAATTAAAAAGGGGACAACTTTTTAATTAATTAAAATACAAACATACAGGACAACTTTTTAATTAATTAAAGAACAAACACAGGGGACTATTTTTAATTAGTTAAAGAAACAAACACAGAAGACAAATTTTTAACTAATTAAATAACAAACACACGGGACAACTTTTATATAATTAAAGAAGCAAACACAGGGGACACCTTTTTAATTAATTAAAGAAACAAACATAGAGGACAACTTTTAATTAATTAAAGAAAAACACAGGGGGTCTATTTTTTAATTAATTAAAAAGGGGAAACTTTTTAATTAATTAAGAAAGACACATCTTTTTAATTAATTAAAAAATGGGACATCTTTTTCATTAATTAAAATGGGGACAACTTTTTAATTAATTAAGAAACAAACAGACGGAACAACTTTTTAATTAATTAAAAATGGGACATCTTTTTCATTAATTACAAAGGTCTCATAGATTAATTTACTCTAATCCTGCCTAAAGGAATTTCAAGTGCCGCGGCTGTTGAAGATTCACGTCAACTCATTCATTCAGTGCCAGTTGACACTGAACTTGTACATATTCCACCACCCGCCCTCTCTGATGAATAGCTAGAAAGAAATACTCGTGTACTCCCTCCCCCCTCTTTTTGTTTTTCCTTGTATTGTTACCGTATATTTTGTCACATTTTTAAGTCTAGTTTTATAATTACATTGGGAAGTATTATGGAAACTGCCCCGTTTATTTCTACTCGACACCCCTCCTTCATTGTTGGCCAACAATTTTGTTCTGGTTTGTTTGTCGTAAACACAGAATAGAGATAAAATATTTAAAACGACAAGTATTTGGCTAATTTTAACTGTTGTTAACGTAAGTACAAAAAATTCACCAAAACTCAGTACAAGAGCGTCACTAGATAGCGCCAAACGGGATTCCTGTGCGCATGCTTAATAAAATTCAACGATGTAACTCATTCCCGGTTGGTGAACGATGTCAAGTGATGTCTTTTTACAAGAAACGTAGAAAAGTTTCTCGTTCTTTCTTTATCCTAAAGGAGCTGCGGGTAATCGCTACCGCAAGTAAGCTATTTGTGTACATATGATGTGTTCTATCTTATATACTATTTAAATGTTCTTAAATACATGCATATATTATGTGTTATATTATATAAATTTTCTTGTATAGGTATCCATATATAATATGTGAGTGTGTTATTCTTGACAGATTATTTAGGCAGAATATTCAGGATGAGTACACTGGAATGGATGACAACTTGAAGAAACGTCGTCCTCTATACTTGTGTTGTTTTTACAACAGGCAGTTCCCGTCCATTCCGGTGTACTCATCATGTGAGTGTGTTATTTCTATGACAGCTGTCCTGATCTTTAACAGGTGTTATGGCATATTAATGTTAAACGACTAGTGTTAAGTTAGCTGTCCTGATCCTTAACAGGTGTTATAGCATATTAATGTTAAACGAATTGTATTAAGTG